CAAGATCACGTGAAGTATTAATACCACTCTTCAATGCCTTGGTAAGGCCACACTTGGAATACAGCATCCAGTTTTGGTCACCACGATGTAAAAAAGATGTTGAGACTCTAGAAAGAGTACAGAGAAGAGCAACAAAGATGATTAGGGGACTGGAGGCTAAACATATAAGGAACGGTTGCTAGAATTGGGTATGTCTAGTTTAACGAAGAGAAGGACAAGGGGGGACATGATAGCAGTATTCCAATATCTCAGGGGCTGCCATAAAGAAGAGGAATCAAGCTATTTTCCAAAGCACCTGAAGGGAGGACAAGAAGCAACGGGTGGAAACTAATCAAGGAGAGAAGCAACCTAGAACTAAGGAGAAACTTCCTGACAGTGAGAACAATTAATCAGTGGAACAGCTTGCCTCCAGAAGCAGTAAATGCTCCAACACTGGAAGTTTTTAAGAAGTGACTGGACAGCCATTTGTCCGAAATGGTGTAGGGTTTCCTGCCTGAGCAGGGGGTTGGACTAGATGACCTCCAAGGTCCCTTCCAACTTTACTACTATTATTATTATATATCTATTGTTTAGTATATATTGAGTTTTGTATATTTGATCTTGTAAGCTGCTGAGAGTCCTTAGACATTCGGCAGTCTATAAATATGATAAATCAGTGGTTCTCAACCTGTGGGTCGGGACCCCATTTGGGGTCGAACGACCATTTCACGGGGGTCGCCAAACAACGCAGTCTGCCATTTTTCCCCCTTAGCTGTGCTACTCCCTTTTATTCTATTGGCTTTTGAAAGCCAATAGAATAGACTCTCTTGAATAGAGTCTAATTCTATTGGCTTTCAAAAGCCAATAAGAATTGTCCAGGCTGTCTCTGCCCTGCTGAGCCCACCAACAGTCCCATTCTGCAAACGGTGCTGCACCAGTTGAGTAGTCCTTGACTTACGACCGGTTGAGTAGTCCTCGACTTACGACAGGTTGGGGGGTTGCGGCATTAAAAAGGTTGAGAACCACTGCGATAAATACTAAATAAATATGGTTGCAGATGTTTCCAAATCCCAAATGGATTGCAATCCATTTTGCTCTGATTGTATATTGAGTTATGTTCACATAATAATATCCAAAGTTATTTTTTGCCAGTTTTGTGTTAAGCCATTTTCTGACATAGCCTGTTGTGTAAAATATGTTATGGAATTGATGTGAGTAAACCATGTTAAATTGATTAACTGTAAAAGAATTATTAGTAAGGTCACTTTGATTTTAATAAAGCTTATGATATAATCCATACTGTTTGATGTAAATCAGCCTTCTCTAGCTTAGTATTTTGCAAATACATTTGGGCTGTATCTCTCATTAGCACTTGTAACAAAATTATATTTTATTTATTTAATTTACAAGAGATGGAACCATTTATTTTTTTATTTTACAATATAGTAACACAGTACACAGTACAGTTCATTCCATGTTTGTCCTTGCTGCAGGGAGCACAAGGAAAAGTGATCGTGATTAGCACTTTTGGAATCCTTGCTAGAGCAATGAAAAAGAAATGACCAGAATCACTGAATTTACTGTTCTTTGCTATAAACCTGTCTATTGAACAATCTAAGTAAGAAAAAAAAGCTTTACCTCAAAAGACATTGCAGTAACCTGTGAAGTTGTGCACATACAAAAAGTCTCCTGTAATTAATTTTAGGAAAATCCCATTTAGTTTGTGTGTCTTCAATACTTTTAAATTTCTTTATGAAATTTATGAATTCTGGGAGTTGAAGTCCACAGATGTTAAAGTTGCTAAGGTGAGAAAATATGTCTTAATAAGCTTGCTTTTTTATATTATAAAGTAAATTAGCCAAATAAACATGGCTTAATGTAATGTGCAATCTTTTATTTCTGAATTATCTATTCATATTTGTTTGATGTATAAAGTATAATCCCAGTTTTAAAAAATCCACAAACAATGAATAGTAAGGCCACATGCATTTTGTACATAAACCAGAGATTTGATTTTCCAAGTGACATTCCAGTTCCTATCAGCCACAACCAACCTGGCCATTGGTCAGAGATTGTAGCCCAGCAACATCTAAAGGACCAAAATGCACCACTGCTGAAAATACTTAAATATCTAAGCATATTTATCTGATAGCATTATGCAAATAGCATTTCAGATGCATTCTGCCTAAAAAATATAGATACTGATAAAGTAGAGAACACTTTTTATTAGTGAGATGAGATTTTAAAAACAGGTGTTTTAGCTAATTCATGTTTAACAAACTTTGTTTTTCAAAATCATACCCTGTGGTGCATTTAAAAACAGTTAAGAAGAATTGTATATGTTTCCATCAGAGAACATAATAGAAATCATAAGGAAATGAAAAAAGAATGTAATTTGTTTTGTAAATATTACAAGGTAACAATGTTTTGTAAAGAGTTCTGTATCTACCAGACCTTTGCCAATAGTAAATGTCGGTCCTCTGTAAAACCATCATCAGGTATAGTCTTAATTTTGATATAATACTTATAAAATGTAAAATATAAACAAGTTGAAAGAGCTAAAGAATTAAAAGTAATAATTCATACATAATCCTTAACTTATAAATAGAATTGGACCCAAAGTTTCTGTTGCTAAGCAAGGTAGTTATGTGAGTTTTGCCTCACTTTATAACCTTTTTTGCCACAGTTGTTAAGCAAATCACTGCTGTTGCTAAGGTGGTCATTAAGCAAATCTGGCTTCCCCCGTTGACTTTGCTTGTTGGAAGCCAGCTGGGAAGGTTACAAATGGTGGTCACATGACCCTGGGGACAGTGCAACTGTCAAATACATGCCAGTTATTTAGTGCCCAAATTTTGATCAGGTGACCATGACAATGCTACAATGTTTGTAAGTTTAAAAATCAACCATAAATCATTTTGAACAGTCACTAAATGAATGGTTGTAAGTTGAGGACTGTCTGTACTTCACTGAACATCAGTTATTCAGTATTTCATATAACCAAAATAGGTGGATTGAAAGATCTCCATTGTTCAGTTTAATACTGAAGAAATATTAAGTTCAGACATAATATATTACTATTGACAATTGTATAAGGCCCATTATTAAGTAATTTTGATTCCCATATATTGTCAGTCTATACATATTTACATTTAATTTTTCTCACAATCCTATTTTTTTAACTTGTGGAATATAATTAGAATTTGGAAATGACTAGTAACCCAAGAGTCAGTCATAAGATAGAAATCACATGCTGCATAATATTGGTCTCAGTCAGAAGTTCGTTGTAGCATTTTGATCCAGCTGAAGGTTCTAATGCTTTTAAGGAAGTATCATGCTGTGATCTAAAGGTTAAAATCTTTTATATTTCCTTCTTAAATCTGATGAAGACAATAAGAATAACCATTATAATTGTGTAAAAAAAAACAGTTGCTTTAATTTCTTTTTTGTTGTTAATTTTAAAATACTTGAACATTTCTTGCTGTGCAAATTAAAAACATATATGCAAGATCAATAGTCAGGATGCCTCAATCTGCTCTGTAGTGGTTGAACTCATTTCCTGGTGATTTCATTAACATGTCCACATAGTTTCCTTGGCAACAGTGTGTAAGTGGTTTGTCATTATTTTCTTTTGACATATGTAATAGTTTAACAATTATCATTAAAGAAGTAACATGATAGTTAGATGGAATCCAGTGAAGGTATATATTAAAATAAAAGTTATCTTCTTAATGTAGAAAAGTTAATACATTGAAAGTATTACATTAATCTTTGTTTGCCATACTAGTATTATATATATCATGTTTGCTGTAGTCTGACTGTGGAGCCCAGTTACTCCTCCTCCAGAACCACTACATTTCTAATTTACTGGGACTTTTGCTTTGCTCAGTATTGATCATGCTGGTCTTTATCTTATATTTGCTTTAAAAATAATAAAAAAATATTCTCAAGTTTTGTTATAAATTATACATGGATTCGCTTATTGGTTTAATGTTTAGTTTGGTTTCCTTAACATTTAGAAAATAAAGAAGGATTTAGTAACAGTGCCAGTCCTCTAGAACAGTCCTGCCATGGAGATCATGCTAGCACCATCCCTTAGTGCATATAGGAAAATCTTGGAAGATAGAAATGTTCTGCAGAGAGCATTTTAACCCACCTGAGTCATCTTTTATTTTGTTTCGTAGTGATTTTTATTTCTTGTGTTTTATTTTCTAGAAGTTTGTTTCCATTTTTAAACTTTGACATTTTAAATTTGCTTTCTGTTAAATCAGCCACCAAAAGGGATATATGTATCTAGTTATATTGCATATCCATTGGAAATTTTACCTGGTGACATAGACATGTTTTGTGGAGATTCTGGATAGTAGCCAGACTCATCTCTACTTAAATTGAGGTTGTTTGCTGAATAGTATGTAGTCAGACAAAGTTTGGGGACATAAGGCAAGATATACGTTGAAACACCTGAAAAGATCAGTTTTTAATACAGTGTTAGAATTAACATATCACATGACCCAGTATTTTCAAGTTTATTTAGACAGATGTTTGATCTCCAGTTTCTGAGAATGCACCATTGTTTCATGATCATAATCGGTCTGCCCCAAAATAATAGTTTTGTCTTTAAGGAAAACAGAGCCTATTCAGCTGGTATAATAAAAAAAAATGTTGCCTAGACTCAGTAACTTGTATCTAACATGCACATATCCATATGCTCCAGCAGAAAAAAATGAAAACCCTAGTGTTCATGATCCCAGTGCTATTACAGAGATTAAAAAATAAATATAATATAATTTAAAATTATACATAGTCCCAGCAGCTGAGTGGTGATTGCAGCATATTTCCAAATTACTTTTCAAAATAAACGTACAAACATAATATCTAAAAGCTATCAATCCAATTGATTTAAAAAAATTTTTTCGTGCAAACGCACCTCCCCAATTTTTTTGTATATTGATTTGTGTTGATAAGGATATGATCTATAATGAAAATGCAGAAGACTTAATGTATGTTTTGCTTTTATTTTGTAGATGTTCTCAAATAATGATGAGGCTGTGATCAATAAAAAGCTTCCCAAAGAGTTGCTTCTTCGGTAAGATGTCTTCTGTTTTGTTCAAAGATTGAGCACAGGTTTAATTAACATGAGAGTAAAGCAAGATGCTAGTTGACTGCAAACAACTCCAAAGCCTAGATTCTGCAATCTGGAAAGCTAAACTCCCAAATCTCCTGAATGTTTGCTGTATCAAATTAATTCTGCTATATGCAATGCAGCCTTTAAACAGATTTAGAAAAGAGCTGCTTTCAATGTGGTTGGCATAGTTAAAACTTGGTGTCCCATCTCCTTCATAAGGAGTCATAACTTAAGGAGCAACATTATGATGCCTTTTAAGCCTATTTACAAATACTCAAAGCAAGTGTATTGAAATGAAGATATTTCTAAAACAAGATGGGAAATTGCTAGGTTTGTTTCAGATTCCAAAAAAAGCCATTATTGACAAGTGGTGATCTTCAAGATTTTATTTAGCATACTCAGCTATCTGTGTCCAGATTCCAGTTTGTTCCCAACAGACTGTATTAACTTTTTCTACTGTTTAGAAAATTCCATATTTGGAAAGGATGTAGAAAGCAACACTTGAAGATATAAACTCAATCTCTCTGTTCACAATTGCAGAAATATGGCTCTTATCCTAGAATAAAATCCACAGATTTTAGGTTGATTTTAGCTATCCAGTTAGCTTTGTGGAAGGAAATGTCTGATCCTAGTTTTTTTTGTTGTTGTTGTTAGCCTGTTAAATGCTCATCCATTCTCATACTTTCAAACTCCAAAATTATGGTAACCTAAATAAAGAAAGGGAAGGTTAAATTTGTCTTAAAATATCATGTTAATTTCATCTTCATTTAAGACAGAATAAGCAAATATTATTTTTTTATTTTGTTTCTAGATGAAATTTTAAATCAGTACCCAGTAAAAGCCCTCAAGCAAAAAATGTTTGGGTATTTTAATTATTATGCTTTGAGAGGAGGAATACAAGAAGCATATCTAGGTTTTAAGATATTTCCGCAAAGACTCCCTTTCAAGAGAGCAGTTTGTCACCTTTCTCTGAATTTTCCCTTTTGATTAAAAAATAAGCTAAGGAGATATTTCATTGCACTCATATCAGAAAGTTAGATCAGGTCCTTTTGGGTTTTGTATTAGTATATATTTTTTCTACTTCTTACTTCTTAAGATGAACCTTTTTGTGATTTACCATGAACCCAGTTTCTGCTTTTTTGTGATTTACTTTGTTCCCATTCCCATAATTTTTCTCTCAGTTTCCTCTCTCTCAGCTAACTTTTTCTCCATATTAGTTTGTATTTAAATCATTCCCTTTGCTGCCTTTGGATACTCATTTATTTTATTGTTCCCTATCCTAACAATGCTTTCAGTCCTTCTTGTTTCTTCCTGATATAAATAATTCCAAGGTAAAAGTCACTATTCTGATGTTTTCCTCTTTCCTCTCATTATCTTCCCAGGGCTTCCTAAAAGAACCAATTTTTATGGCTTTTTCTAAATTCCAGCTGGGTGGGACCAAATGGAATAGAGACAAAGTATTGTTCCAAAGAATGTAGGAATCAGTTGGTTAGAGGGCCACTCTTCCTGAATGTATTAGATACAATTGGGAGTAGGTATTAGATACCTGGATCCTGAGCTGTGTAGGATTGAAAATGAAAACCAACATATTGAATTACACCCAGAAATCCACTGTAACTGATCAAACCAATTAAAAGTAATGCTGTTATATGTGTGAAAGGATATGCCTATAATTACTCAAAACACTGTCTTCTGGACGACCTCAAAAGGCAACCACATCTATAAAATCCAAACAGTGACCAAGTCTTGAATGTTTGTGAGTAGGATCATAACTGGTACACAGAGTGGAATTTGCAAAAGCTTTTCCAGTCACATCTGTACTGAGGAGGAGGTATGAGTAAAAAGGGGCCCACACATTATGAACCAATTTGGGATGGGACCATGACCCCCATCCAGAATTAGAAATGGGATTTTCCTGCAATTGGATGGCTTCAAAAGCCAGACCCACTCTATCATGCTAGCATTGGGCCTAAATATATTGTTCCTTATCCAGACCCAAACAGCTTCTAGGCCAGTGATGGCAAACCTTTTAGAGACTGAGTGCCCAAACTGCAATCCAAAACCCACTTACGCATCGTCAAGTGCCGAGTGGTGTGGCCTATTGGCTGGATATGGCCCATTGAGTGGCCGTGGCCCATTGGGTAGGCGTGGCTGCAGTGGTAAGGGCAGACTGGGTGGGACTAAAAAGTTCAATCCAACTTTACAAGACTTTTTCCCGCGAGAAGTTGAAATTGACTGATTGAACCTTTTTTTTTTTTTGCACACGGGGTGGAGGCCTAAAGCGAAAAAGTTTTATAAAACCCAGCTGAAGGCCTAGGACTGGGGCGACGGTGCGCGTGCCCACAGAGAGGGCTTTGAGTGTCGCCTCTGGCACCCGTGCCATAGGTTCACCACCACTGTTCTAGGCACTGGAACAGCATCTTGACTTCACTTTTTCATCTACAGCAGGGCTTTTCAACCTTTTCACCCATTGTACCACTTTTAGGATAAGGCAATATCCGAGTACCACCAGTCACCCAGCAAGATGTCAAAAAGTTGACCCCCCCAAAAAGGAAAAAATGATAAAGTACAGGTAGTTCAACAATTCATTTAGTGACTGTTCGAAGTTACAGTGGCACTGAAAGATGCAAATTATGACCATTTTTCACACTTAATGCTGTTGCAGCATCCTCAGGATCATGTGATTTACATTTGGATGCTTGGCAACTGATTCGTACTTCTGACGGTCACAGTGTCCCAGGGTCATGTGATCACCTTTTGCAACTTTTTGACAAACAAAAGTCAATGGCCAGAGGGGCATGGCCAGTTCATCACTCAGGTTGCGGGTGCCTGTGGGGGTACGGTTGGGGATGTGGGGGGGATCTGTGAGTCTCTTGTAGAGGGGGTGGGACAGACATGGACACCTTCCTTTCCTCCCTCTCTCCCTCCCATTGTTCCTTCTTTTCTTCCTTTCTTCCTTGCCTCCCTCTTTGTCCCTTCCTCCTTCCCTCCCTCCCTTCCTTTCCTTCCTCCTCTCTTTGTCCCTTCCTTCCCTCCCTCCCATTGTCCAGCGTTACGGGAGCGGGGAGGGCATAAAAGAGCCTGGAGGAGGCAATTGGAGTTTGGCCACCACTGCCTCTGCCACCGCCACTGTTGCTGAGCCCCATGGCTGTGTGACAGTGGCTGCTGCAGTTCTTGCCCGCTGCCTCTCCTTGGCTGCTTCCTCTGAAAAGGAGTGACAGTCACGCTTGGTGCAGCCGGAAGCCCAGCACAGACACTGTTCTTCTGCAGGGGGAGAAGAGCGCAGGCAGCGGAGGAGCGCATGGGGGTGGGGAAAGAGGCGCGGCTGCTGGACTCTCTCTAGCACGTTGCGTGTGGCCGCAGCCGGAGAAAAGCAGCAAGCGGGGAAGCGGCTCATTCATTGCTGCAGCCGCAACCCAGAGCCACGCACAGCCCCGGGCATTTCTTTTACGGGCACAGCAGAGCCTCAGCACCAGGCTGGACCCCGGGAGGCTCCTCAGCGCTGAGCTGAAATGCAGCTGCAGCAACTCCAGCCCCTCCCTGGGTGCAAAGGGCGTTTTTCGGGCTCCAACCCCATTGCTGCACTGACCTGCGGGCGAAAACGGGACTTGCTCTCCAAATGAGAGCCGAGGTCAGCGACCGGAGGGGAGCCAGAGTGGCGGGAAGGGGCCTTGCTGGGGAGGGCCGCCCCACGTCCTCTAATGGTGGTTGGAGCGACGAAACGCAGCTGCCAATCCCGCCCTGCTCAGCTTGTCCATTCTTATTCCCCCCTCTCAAAAGGCGATGCTGTAATCTTTACAGCTTTCTGCAAGCAAGTGAGATGAGCAGGAGCATGAGATCAGCGTTTCTGAGACACACGGATTCGCACCCCTGCCCATCTCGCTTGCTTGCCAGTGCCCACAATCTGCCCGGCCTCCCCTCTGCCTGCTTTGCGCAGCGCCTCCTGGGCCCCCCGCGCCCGCCGTTAACCCTCCTGCCACCATGCAGGGTAAGGTTGGCACCCCCGCCCCGCCCAGATGCCCTTGCCTCCCCCAAGCATTTTTTTTTACTCACCTGCTTTCAGCTGCACTCCCTTTCTCCTTTTGCTTCTCTGCCTTCGTTTGCTTCTCTGCCTTCGCCACGTGTTTGTGGGTAAAAAAGAAAAAAAGTTCCATGAAACGTTTTAACTTCTCACAAGAAGTTAGAAAGTCTCATGGAACTTTTTTTTGTCTCACAAACACATGAAGGCTGAGAAGGACAGGAGAAAGGGAATGCTGCTGAAAGCAGGTGAGTAAAAAAAACGCTTGGGGGAAGTGAGGGCATCTGGGTGGGGGTGGGGGGGACCCAGGCTATGCGTCGCGCAGCTCCAGCAGAATCTCCACTGAAGACTGCGTGAGACTGCCTGCTACCCCCAAGGCTGCCGCCAATCAGCTGGAGCTGCGCGCTTTGATCCTGGGCTCTCAGTAGGACCCAGGCAACGTGCAATTCCAGCTGACTTTGCCACAAGCCTGTGCGGCGCTGCTGCCGCTTTAACTCATCCACTTTTACACTTTTTTTTACATTTTCTTTTACATTTTTTTTCAAGCCGTCCTACGCGTACCACCAGCCAAGTGCTCGCGTACCACTGGTGGTACGCATACCACCAGTTGAAAAGCCCTGATCTAGAGTTGTTACAACTTCACATTCATATCCAAAGGTATTTATTTGCCTTTAGAAAAAAAAATCATAATTTTTAGAAATCTAAAAATGAATCTTCAAGGCACTTACAATGTGTAATCATTTTCATCTCCCATGCACTACCTGACAAAGAGTTTTTTTTTTTATTGAAAAGTTTTATACAGTATACAATATCCCAAAACCCACCCACCCCTAACCCTTCCCCCACTTCCCAGTGCTGAGTACAGGGTTACAAATTAACAATCAAATTCTAATTAACATTACCCAACTATATAAGTAACCAAATCCATAAAATACTTTAACTC